GACGCTCCAAACTTTTGATTTTAGCCAATCTAATGGTCAGGTTGTCTCAATTATCCAACTCTAATCCCTTGGTAATTGGTTCTAAAACGACTTTTAATCTCCTAATCCCTTAGGTAAACCAAAAACGTTCAGCATTAAGGATAAAACCCATATGACCATATTATCATAAATTTATATTCCTAGACAATTCATAATAAGCATTTTAACTCCAGTCCAAGAAAGTTCACAACTTTCCAGCAATGAACTCCTTTTCATCAACTCCATTCACGTAGAACAGCGAGGCATTAAGTTCATAATTAAAAAGTTAGATTAAAGCTTCCATCTTGAATCACATACAATGCTTAGTTCATTGCAATGGGTAAAGGTATAAGTTCATCTTTACTTAACCCCAAAGAGATTTAGCTAGACATTATGAAAAGAAATGAATTAAAACTGAGATATATTGCAGAAATGAAATTCATAGTTATAGAAAAGCTTACAGCAAAAGGATAGAATGAAAGTGTTACTGTTCTATTACAAAAATCAGAGAAGATGGAAAGGAAATCCAAGTTCCCATGAGAATCCTTCTACCAAAATGTAAAGAAAAATACCCTAGTTACCCTATTCTACGTAAAACTGTATGAAAACCTAGAAAACTGTGCTCCAGAATGTTCTAAAAAAAGAAAGATAAAAGATGCTTTTCAGAATTTTTTCGCTTTTATATGCATCAGTCAGCATCGTGTCTCCACAAATAAAAGTTCGTGTCCCCACAAAGTGTGTTCTGCAGCACTTAACTTTCGTCCTTTAGCCCAATTGCCACTTTTTGTTTAAATCCTTCAAAAATTCAATTGCCAACATCAGAATATGAATGATCTATACAAATTTTCCAGTACTTGCAACATACCATTGAATTTTCCAATTAATTGCATTAACTTATGATTTAAATCCAATGAAATATGCCAAAAATCTCTAATTTCCTAGATGAGTTATAGACTCATCATTAATCACTGTGTAAATTTAGCTTAAGCGGATAATTCTGACTTAAGCTAAATTTATAACAAAGTGAATTCATACGTTGTTTCTAATTCAACAAAATCTCTTTAATCATCACCCTTATTTTGATCAAATAAAAATGATTATTTTTAAGATAATTGGGATGAGTATACAATATTTTCAAATAGAAAAACCTTACAATTGAGAGTATAACAATCGAAAAAGAGAATGATTATGTGGATTTAGGGTTTATGGTAGATATGACAAACAGGTTTGTATACTATTAAGGAGGAGAAATGAAAAAAGAATTGAAATAGAAGAAAGAAAAATTAAACAAAGTTTCTACGACAATATTCCAAAAGAGGATTACTTGACTTTTTCTTCAAAAACAAAGATAGGAGTGAGTTTGAGAGAACATGATATGATTTCCTATGAATAAGCAATTACATTTTTTATTAACTTGAAAAAGAATTCTATTAAAGAATGACATATTTTAAATATTTAAGAGATTTATATCCTTTATCTGCAAAATTTGATAAGGATTAATTTTTAAATTTTTAAAACCTACTATAGCAGGTCATTTTGCTAACTTATTTGTGAGTTACCTAATATGTTAACTCATGTTAGCCTTGACCTTTTATTAACTTAATATACTATGTTATTATTTTTTATTTATAATTATAATAAATAAAAATTATATTATATTCAAAATTAAAAATATTTATACACGATTATACTAAATAATAAATTTATTTAATAATAAATTATCATATTTGTTACATTTAAACAAGTTAAAGAATAATTAAGTCTTTAAATAGGAATAAGACGCAATCAAAACTTAACGAAATAAAATTTAAAAATAAAATAATAATACTATATTATATATTTTCTATATTCTTAATTTTATTATTATTAATATTTAATTATTTAATTATTATATTAATATATTATGTTTAATTATTTTTATTTATAATAAATAGAAATTGTTTAAATATGAATTATATTTTATTCAAAACTAAAATTTTATTAAAAAATGGTAAAAAATAAAATAAAAAATTTAATATACAATATATATATATATATATATATATATATATATAATAGAACCATATAGTAAATAATATAAATAATATAATTTTAAATAAATTATATATAATAATATATACTTTTTGTAACTTGCTAAGTATTTTATTTTTATTGGTATAAATTTGTTGAGTAAGGTACCTATAAAAAAGTTTTTAGATATCAGATTCACAATACACAGTCACACACCTAAATATAAATATGTAAAATTTTAAATAATTATTTTTAATGAATTTGACATAGATGTAGATAGATTTTAAAAAAAATATATAATATATAAATATATATTTTAATATATTATATCAATAATATTTTTTATATTATATTAATGTTATAGTGTAGTTAATTTTATATATATTTGTTAATTTAAAAAATAAATAAATTAAATATTTTGTAATTATTTTTTAATTTAATAATTATTATTATTGTCATTATATAATACATTGAATTTAAATTTTTATATTAAGTTTTATCACATATTTTTTTATTAAGATAAAAGTTTAGAAATATAAGTTATTTTAATTTAAATATAAATTCTATTAATTCTTACTATACTCATATATTATTTTTCTACATCTATGAATTTTATAAGATAAATATTTTTTATCTATAATTTTAAAATGACAATATTTATTTACTTTTTTAAATATAATAATTTTTTAACTAATTCAACAAATTTTATGAATTTTATTTTTTGTTATCAATTTTATGTATTTACTGTGATTTTATTTATTGAATATAAGTTGTCTTTAAACAAACAAAATATAATTCTTAAAAAAATTAAAATTTTTAATACTTTAATAATTTTTTTAAAAAAAATCAAGAAAAATAAAAATATAATTTTTTAATATGAAACATTTATAATTAATGCTTAAATAATATTTTAAAAATTATATAAAAATTATTACAATTATCAACGGCACAAATAAAAATTAAAAATATATATAAACTAATTTAATAATAAAATATTTATATTTTTATTAATATTAAAAAAAATTATAGCAAATTTTGTTAGTATGTTTCAGGCTAAGTTAGATCAGATTGAAAATAAAACTTTTAACATGACATGTTCTAACCTATTTTCATTCCTAAGTCAATCAAGCTGTATTTATCATTTGATGTTCGATAAATTATTCTTGCTCTTCAATTTTGTGTGCATGAATTTAGCTAAGAATGTATATCATCACCGTTAATATTGAAGAATGTTGTGGAATTTCACATATACTAGTTTTGTTTTTATTTAATTTTTAAGTTATGTAGGTGAGATTTTGATTGTGTGGTGAAATTTTTGTTTCGGGGGCATAATGTGGAGCAATGAAGCATGGTGAATTACCAATTACGAGCTTTGTTGAATTCCCACCTATGATTTTCAACATTTTCTGGCTTTGTTGCGTTCAACTCGGAGCCTTTTGATTTGTTTAACTTGTATCCAATTGCTTATTATTTTAACTTGAACCACGAAAGTGAAGAAGGAAGCGGTGCGAAGGTCGTACTATAATAATAGTTAAGAAAATTTTGTTTGTTAAATAACAATAATTTAATTACTATAATTTGAGCGTAAATTAAGAATTGGGATTTATTCTGTTTAACTTAATTCTATCTTAACAAAATAATTAATTAACATAATTTTTAAAATCTAAAAATTAAGATGAAATAAGTTTTAAAAATATTTATTTATAAAACGAGTGAAATTTAGAGTAGTCGTATACACATTTTTGGTTGCTTTATGCGGGTGTAATTAACATTAGCATAACAATGTTTTACTACGTCATAAAATTAGGTATTTTGAATGCGCTGACTTGTTAGTATTATTGATTTTTGAGTTATATTATTTATATACTATTTTTATAATATATTTTCTAATATCATTTATTTTTTTATCACAATACTTATTATTTTTATTGAAAAAATTGTATAAAAATATTAAAACATTTCTCTGAATTTTTTCTACCATTTATTTTATTGAGGAACTTCTTCACTAAGTTTTCTTCCGTTTTCCTTTACACTTTTTTCTTTATTATCAAAAGAAAATTGTACTTTTACACTGGCATTATGCATTTTCCTTTTATATTTATCTTTCATGCCAAGTAAACGAGAGAAACATTTTTTTTTTCCTTTTCTCTATTTTTCTCATAAAAAATCTGGAACAAAATTATTACCATTAATTGTAATGAATCATTTAAAAGAGAGTGTAAGAATAACAATTAGGTAATCAATCATAAGAGGAAGGGAAGAAAAAAGTCAACAAAACCAGAACAAGTCTATATATATTGTTTTTAATTATTTAAAATCACCATTAAAAATTGTTGCTTACAAACTTTTTAATTTATTCTATTTTATATTTTACGTGCTTCCACTTTAATTTCGTGATTCCATTTCAGAGCCAACTGAACAGTGATAAGATACATTACGTACATGAATTAAATTTATATCATTTTTAATGTTCAATTGGAGAGAGTGCCTTGTATTAATTTCTGTCCAGTGATAAGATTAATAATTACTCACGAAACATTTTATAGATAATTGAACCAGTAAATGGAAAAAAAAATTGATCTTACACAATTAAGTTGTGTTGTTTAAACATTAAAAAAAATAACATTATACATATATATATATATATATATATATATATATATATATATAAACACGCTTTAAAATTAAAAAATAACTTTCTATAGTTCTAATTTTATACTAAAAACACTTTCCAAAAGAAATTGGGGAAAGCAATTGTAATTTGTAAAGCAAGAAATAAATAAGGTTTGTTTGTTTGAAGGTTGAAATTTCAATTCCGCATATTTGAAAGTAAGCGTAAGCCCCAAGCACCCACCGGTACGGATTTACACGTGTTGGTTGCCTATTGGTTTAAGCACGTATGCAAAACTGTTGTCACGTTGTCTCTTAACGACACGTATCGTGCATTGCAAGTAACGCATTTTATTGTTTATTTATATAATTTATTATATTCATATCATCGACACACACCACAAACGAACGCAAGTAACAAACCAGAGAAGAGAAAACGAAGAACCAAACAATGGAAAACCAATCCACAACCCCATCATCGATGCAGTTCCTCCTCCTCGAACAGGTTCAATTCTTGAAGGTGAACGACGATTCTCTGTTTCAGTGGGAACTCGTCGACGTTGTTGAAGCCGAGGAAGAAGATGAACAAGAAGAAAGAAGAGACGATGGGTTCGATTCTTGGGGTTCTTCTCCCAACGATGCCCCAATTGAAGGAATTCGCCATCTGCTTCTTCATCGCGATGTGGGTGTGGAAGATCAAGATCACCACCCCCGCTATCACCGTGAGGACGTAGATGACGGTGATGCAGATGGGTATGGTGATGACGATGGTGATGGTGATGGTGATGATGAGGATGACGATGATGATGGGTATGGTTTGGATGATGAACTTGTTCCGTGGAATGTGAGCGACAAGTTCGAGAGGCAGAGGATGAGGAAGTTAGGGAAAAGGGCATTTTCGAAAATGCACAATTCGAAGAGGTGTCCTTATCTTTTTGTGAGGCCAGGATGTGTTCGTGGCAAGCATGGTTTAGGCCTTAAGCATAGTTACTGATTCCTAATTGATTGGACCCTCTTTAAGAATTGGATTAGTTACTTAGTTAGTTAGTTAGTTAGTTTAACTGTTAGATTTCGTTGATCTTGATTGAGATTTGTATTTGGAAATCTGTTAGCAAGATCATTAGGACATGTAATGATTGATGTCTTTCTTTTATGTGGATACCGTGTTTTAATTCTGAATGTATATTTCAATGGAAAAATTGGTTTGCTTTTGTATATGTTATGCTGATTTTATGTTTTTGGTGGGTAAATTACATTGGTTCTTGTGAAGGCAAATGGTTCGGATTTGATTCTGGTAACCCAAAATTGGGATCAAAGATTAAGGATGTTGAATTGAAATCCATTCTGCAGAGAAAACACCTTGTTTTTTGAAGGAGAATGAAGCAGGACTATGAATTTGATTTTCAATTATTGTGGCTGAAAAATCGCTTTTAACCTATTTCTTGTTTTTGTTGAAGCGGATTTCATTACAAAACTGTTCCCCTCTTTTGAACTAAACAATCCGTTAGATGGGAACTATCAATTTAACATCGGCTTCTCCCCCAGTTATGTAGTGTCAAGATACATCTACACGAGTTTGGAGAGACAGAAAAACTGAAAAGAAGGAAAAGGAAAGGAAAGAAAAGAAGATGATAAAAATAATAATTTGAAAATTTTTTAAAATAGGAGTTTAGAAAAAATAAATAAATGGATTTTAAAAATTTTCTCTCACATTTAAAATTTTTAAATAAATATTTTTATCAAATAAACCTTTTTTTTTTTTAATCTTTCTCTTGTTCTCAAGTTTAACTCTAAAAACAATTCTTCCTAAATTTAATATATTTAATGTCTCTAAGAATATGTGCTCCCAAAATGATACCTAAAATGTTACCTTCCTTTTTTCTCTTCTTCTCGAGTTAAGGAAGGACCTTTTGGAACACATAGAATAGCTTTTTATTTTATTTTATATATTTAATATATATTAAAATAATGAGTTAAATATTTTATGTTATCATTTTTTGTTTATTTTTAAATTATGTTTTTATGTATTAAAAAATTTATACAAGAAAGAAGAATAGGATAAATTTATGAGAATTTTATTATACATTGACTTATCATATTTTGCTGCTTAAATGAATGTTATAAACAAAACAGGTATTTTATCATTTTTCATTTTATTCGCCAAATAGATTCTCAAAGTTTGTATGAGAATTAAAAAATATTATCTAATTTTTTATTATATCATTTATCTATTAATTGATATCTTATTTATTATTCTTTATTAAGTATACATTAATTGTTAAAAGCAAAATGAAATCTCAACAATAGAAGTTGTATACTTTAAAGGAAGTTGATAAAAAGTGACTTACATACCTTTTAAGGGTAAATTTACATTAACGCTCGTCTGAAGTTTTTAAATGTTTAACTAAGTATTGAATCAAAGTGCTTACAAAAAAATATACAAAATAATATTTTTAAATATATATATATATATATATATATGTATTTTAAAGATGATATAATTTAGATGAACAGTTAAAAGATGTTAGCTTTAAATTTGAGCTTTAGAAATAAATATTAGAATCAAATAATTTTTCTTACTAAGAGTAAAAAAAGTATATGTATCACAATTGTACCTAAAAATGAAAATGATTTGAGCAACTATAAAATTGTAATAAAATAATTTCCATTTTTATATATTTTAAAAACAAGATATTACATTAACTTTATTGCATATGAATCACACATCAAACAATTTTGGATTGTTTTGAAATTTTATAAACATAGTTTATATAGTTGTAATTTTTAATTTAACAGTTTATTTTAATATTAAATTATTCAATAAACAATATAAAAGTGAGTATATCTTGCATTGATGTAATTTAATCATTTTTATTTTAACATTATTTATTATATAAAAATCAAAATTTTAAAATATTTTTAAACAAATTAATTTTCTTATACCATTTTTTTATCTGAAATCATTTTCATAAAATAAATTTTGCAAACTCTAATCCAAATAAACATTCATTCTCTTGTTATCTTCGTTTGCCCCGATTGCAAAATGTTCTTCAAGCCTCCAAGTCTAACCATTGTCTCCCTGATAGTAGGACTAAGGAGGAACAAGTATAAGCCTAACTCGATTGCATTCATCCTTCTCTGGAATAGAAATAGATTGTGTTAAGACTTTTAGAAAGCTTGATTGAGTTTAATTTCTTTAATTTGTAAAATAATATATAGTTTGATTGTATTGTATTTATCTAATGTAGACCTTTTTTATAGTATGGTCCAATATCTAAGATTTTTATTTCTCTATTTTCTCTATCTACTTTACACTCCAGAATGAGATGTCAAACAATAATTTTCCTCCACTTTTCAATTAATGTCTCAATCAATCAGAAATTTGGTCGTTTCTCTGACCAAACCATCGGAGGCACAAATAATTGTTTGTTTGTTTGTTTTTGCTCCGAATCAGTTGATAATTTGGTTGTGAATTCTTGTAACTTTTGTCCCTATAATTTTGTTATCGCACTAACAGCTGATATTTGCACCACACCATTAATAATAAAGAGATGAAAATTTGAGACACCGAATCAGAAACTATATATTAAGACGCATATATTAATTTGATGATTCTTTTTTTTTACTCAAAATCACCCTAAACTCTATCAATTGGTATGGCTGCATTATTTTTTTAACCAAGATATTTCTGACAGACAGTTAAAAAATTATTTAATCTCTTATAAGATGTGTAAAAATCACTTTACATATATAAATTAATATATGTCTGCATTTTGTTGTATATATATGATCCTTTCCTATAAATATTGGTTCATACTCTCAAAACTAGAATTTATTCCCTTGTATACACAGCTTTACCATGGCGTAAATTTTTTTTTTTTGAACTCGTTTGAAGTGCTCATATATAATGAAAATTGTTGCTTTATTCCACATCCATATTACTTGCAGTTCTACTCGAGGCAGATCGTAGAGGAAGGCCAAAAGGTTGATAAGGGTACTGCATCTTTGAGAGAAAAAGACATGTCCAGAACGCAACAAGAAGAAATAGTAAAAGGATCAAAGTGTCATGATTGTGGGAACCAAGCTAAGAAGGATTGTGCATACTCAAGGTGCAGAACTTGCTGCAAGAACAAAGGGTTCGAGTGCCAAACTCACATCAGAAGCACTTGGATTCCTGTAGATAGAAGGCGCCACAGAGTGGAGCAGCCACCAGATATTCCTAAGAGGCACAAGCAGAGCTCATATTCAAGTACTGTACATGCACTTCTCCATTATAATCCAAATTAACATCCTTACATATAATAATATTAGAGCCCTAACTTTCTCTTCCCTAAATTTTTCTGTTAAAGTTCTATGCCTCATAAAAGCATATACTTATTCATCCTATTATCATCTTTCAGCTCAAACTTGAATCTGGTTTCAAAATTATTGTTTTTTTTTTTGTTCTTTTTCCTTTTTCACCCCACCCCCCTTCATTTTTTGTTATGTAACCAATAAATAGCACTAATATTATGTGTGTGTGTTTACTGATTCAGGTTTAGAGGAGTTCAAATTTCCTGCAGTGATGAGTTCCATGGCGTTATTCAGCTGCGTTAGGGTGCGCTCTATGGATGATACGGTCAATGAAATCGCCTACCAGACATCTGTGAACATTGGAGGACATGTATTCAGTGGTCTTCTTTATGATCAAGGCCCTGAACAAAGCTTCAATGCTAGGGGTGACATGGATCCTCTTGATCAGCAACACAATCTCAATCTTAGCAGTGATGGTGCAAGTGCAACTATGGCTCCACTATCAGCCCCTGCAACTCATGAGCTTTTTCTTCCTCCATCGCATCCGTTCCCCCTTGCTTCCTTCAGGCCCGGTATGACATACTTGTCACACCCAAAACCTTAACTATTTTCTTTCTGGATACTCCAAAAAATGAGAAGCTAAGGTACTTATAATTAGATGCGGGAAAAGAATAGAATGGAACAAAAATACTTACTAATTCAGTTAACGCCTGTTTGGAGGACTTTATTGTTGAAGCAGATAGAACTAAGCAACATAAGGGAGACAAATTCCTTAATCAATGTAGCTAGACTGAGGGAGCTGCTCGTTGTTTTGGTTACCAATGATTCAATTCAGTTATATATATTATACATTTAATTTGTTACCTGTAGTTTGATATTTAATTTAGCATGTAGCTAGCTTGCCCCTACATATAGGTTTGGCAGTTTTGTCTTCTTGTTTTGTTGTGAATCACTTTTTACATTTTTGTTAATCATAATGTTCCTACTTCTAGTCCCTTTTGTCGCCATTATACTCTAATAAGCAAAGTCGGGACAAATAACCAAGTTTTCATTATCATCAATATTTAATACTTGATAAATACAAGTTGTGTACTGTTGTGTCTGTAAGCTGGACCAAACCCAATGTTTCTAGATAGGAACAAGCACACATGATAACATAACTAATGAAGATAATCTGTGGTTGGCAAGCCAAGGATTTTTCAAAGTGTTAGGCGCTTTTGTTTGTTTCGATGCATGAAAAACATCCAGAAAGTCATTCTTTTTTTCTTTGCCTCTCCAGACCAGAATTAATGCTGATTGCTGAGTTACCTAATTAGGTTGTAATATGAGAATGCATTTGAATCTTCCTTTTCTTTATTGCCTTGCTTGAAAAGTTGAAATGCGTTTGAGACAAATTATATATAACTTTTCCCATGTAGAATTTTACATACATGCGCCGCATGAACACACACATATACATATCTATTATAGACAAGCAAATATATACGTACATAATATACGAGGGAAACTTAAGAACTTAATTGGGAAGAATCATCCGTAACCCTAAATAATTTAAAATGATAGATTATTTTTTTTTGGATGCTGTACAAAAGTGTTGTTATATATATATATATATATATATATATATAAGGCCAGCCTCTTTTTATTTTTTATTTTTTTATGAGCAAATACATTTATTCTGGAAAATTTATATAGGTACAAGAAGTACTTGTCCTCAATATCTCTTGACAAAGCAGGAGTACAAGACCAGGCATCTTGTGAAACTTAGTTCAAGTTAGCTTTTGCAGCAAAAGCATAAACCGAGTGCGCTCAAATTTTTTTATAGAAAAGAGGCAGTCACTAACTATAAGGAATACTCGTACACAGCTTGGGAATATATCCTTTATATGCTTGAAAGAGAATTATATTTTATGATGTTTATATATATAGAAAAGATATATATATATATATATATATATATATATATATATATATATATATATAGAAAGAATGAAATAAAATAATTGATGTGATAAAAAAAATAGTATCATACAAAATTTTATTAATATCAACAATATAAATCTACTTAAAATATCGAAATACATATCAGCTAGGTCTAATACTGTCCAAGAACTAACTATGCTAAGAAATTTCCAGAGTGCATGGATTCTCTATCCCACAAATGTTCAAATGGAGGACGTTGTGGGAAAAGAGTAGGATGAGAACATCAACTTTCTTAAAGTAAACCTAGCAATGAAATCACGTCTTTCGGCAAAGCTTTTAATTAATAATAATATGAACTCCAAACATCCCTTTTCTTTTATATTGAACAACAGCGTTCGAGTTTTATTAAGCTGAAGATGGTGTCAAGCTCCTCACCATGTTGCCACTCAAATTATGGAATTCGAAGTTCTAGCTAGACTGATCATAATATGCCTCATTATTTGGAACTTGATTAATGTTTTTAAAGAGTAGATAAAAAGTAATTAGTATATCATGCATTGGCATATATTTCCCTTTCCTCTCTCTACCCCCATTAATTAATATATATAGGTCTTGTCAATGTTGTGTTCCCCCCATTTTTAGTTGTTCTTTCTTTGACCCAAAATCACTTCTTTCACTAATAGTTAGATGTCAGTTCCAACTTCCAGACATGATATATAATACTTAAGTTTATCTATCTGTAATTCGTCCATAGCTGGATGTCATGAGAACGTACACACATCAACACATTGCTTATTTGATTCTTGTGTCTATGATATTTTATGCTAAAAGTAGCATAGTTAGTGTATTTTTTGTGCTTTACTTAATCTAATTAACCAGCCATTAGATGCTGATCTAATCACCACAAATATTATATTACGTAATATGTCATTATCGACTAAAAGAAGCTTAAAGCCTTTAAACCAAAGTGTTTTAAAAATTGATGAACATTACTTTGTGGTTGTTAAAGGAACGGTGGGTTCTTGATAAAAGTTTTTTTTATTATTTATTAAATGTACTGCAAAAGAAAATTAAAGTGACCAAGTTACCTCGAACACTTGTTGAAATGTTAGGGTGTTTGGTTTGAGGAAACATTTTTTGTTTTTATTTTTATTAAATAATTACAAATATTGCAATATATAATTTTTTTCATTTATATAAGAAAATTGTACAGAAATTAAGGTACAAGAAATTTGACATCCTTACTAGTATTAGTAAAAATATAGAAAGTTCTTAGATCAAACAACCTTTATTCATGATGGCTATGGGGTTTGGAGTAATTTTTCCACCTTTCATTTATAACTTTATTTAATCACGTGGTATAATCAATCATTACAACTATACACTACATACAAAAAAGCACACTTTTACTCCAATTAGAAGGATTTTGTTAACGAAGCATTTTAGTATCTATGTCAGTCACAAAAAACATAAGGCCCAAAAACAAAAAGACAGAGGGAGAAAGCCCAAGTATACATAGGTTTGCCATTAATTGGCTTACGTTAGCTAGCTGATACGCGCGACAATTCAAGGCCCAGATGGCCCACATATTCTGGCGGGAAAACCACGGCTCTTTCCCCGCCATGTCTTGCAGCTATTCATCCCTACTCACTGATCTACTTCCTCACACTCTTCTTTTACCTCTTTCTGATTTTTCTTTCAGCGCACAGAAACGATGGCTTCCGATTCTTCTCCTATGAATTTCAACAACGGTTCGTATCGTTCTGCTCTTTCTAACTTCTTCTCGTGATTTCCGTTTTCCTTTCTCTCTGATTTGAAATTCGTTGAAACTCCGTTTCAGGTCCTTCATCCCCGGACGATTCCCTCTCTAGTCCTGTCGGCAACACGTTCTCTTCGCCGGCTCAGAGACGCCGCCGTCGCTCTTCCACTCCCTCCGCATTTGCAACTCCACCGCACCGGTCCCGTTTCGCCTCCTCTGATGCAACCCCAACTCCCTCACGCTCCCGGCAAAGAGGCAGCGGCATCAGTGGTGGCGCGCGCATTCCCGCCACGCCCACCTCCACTACCGACGACGTGCCGGTCTCGTCGGACGGGGGCGACGGTTATGACATGGACGACGTCAGGCCCACCTTCGTGTGGGGTACGAATATAAGTGTGGAAGACGTGAACGATGCGATTCAGAGGTTTTTGAGGGACTTCAGAGAAGCATCTTCGTCGCAGGGTGATGACGATGGGTTACATTTGCATACGGAAGGGAAGTATGAGAAGTTGATCAAACAGGTTATAGAAATTGAAGGGGATTCTCTGTATGTTAATGCGTGTGACGTGTTTGATCATGACCCTGATTTGTACACCAAGATGGTTAGGTACCCCCTCGAGGTGCTTGCAATATTTGACTTGGTTTTGATGAATATGGTCAGCCGAATCAAACCCATGTTCGAGAAGCACATTCAAACTCGGATTTTCAATCTCAAAACTTCAATCTCAATGAGGAATTTGAACCCATCAGGTGAGAATTTAGTGCATCATTCAAAATTCTGTGTCTTATTGTAGGCAATTGGGCTGTTTTAATGATCTGAGGACCCCTTTTGTTATAGATATTGAGAGGATGGTGTCGTTGAAGGGAATGATCATAAGATGTAGCTCAATCATACCGGAAATTAGGGAAGCTATATTTAGGTGTCTTGTTTGTGGATTCTGCTCTGACCCAGTTGCTGTGGAGAGAGGTAACTTTCCTTGGGACATTTCTGCTTGTTTATGTAGTGAGTTATCAATTTAATCTTATTTTTACACTTGTAGTGTTTGGCTGACTATTGTGACTTTTAGGACGAATAACTGAACCCACTGTATGCTTGAGGGAAGAGTGTCAATCTAGGAACTCCATGACACTGGTTCACAACCGATGCAGGTAATCCACACCTGTGGTTAATTTGTATAAGGAAGAGCTTATAATTGAAGTATAGTGGGAAGAATTTAGTAACCCATAAAATAAATGGGATGATGACTATGGCCATTAGCCTCTATTTTAAAAAGTTTTCTTGATTATTTGTAACTATTCTGCTTAAAATTATGCTCTTGAATTTCAGATCTGGTAACTATGAAATTGTGATTTACATTTTTTTTACTTTCTAAAATCAGGTTCACTGACAAGCAGATTGTGAGGCTCCAGGAAACACCTGATGAGATACCAGAAGGAGGTACACCTCACACAGTCAGCTTGCTGATGCATGACAAGCTTGTGGATGCTGGAAAGCCAGGTGACAGAGTTGAGGTGAGACCATACAATGTCATACTTTGTGACAAGTCAATGCCTATAAGCTTGATTAATCGTGACAAGTTTTTTGGTTTTCATCAGGTGACTGGTATTTATAGGGCTATGAGTGTGAGGGTTGGACCAACTCAGAGAACTGTCAAGTCATTGTTCAAGGTATGCATTACATTCTTAACTCATTTACAATTAGAGCTCCACCCTCACATTTTGTATCTTGTCCAATTGATTTTTGTTTTGTCCTTGTCATGTTGTAGACATATATTGATTGTCTTCACATAAAGAAGACTGATAAGTCCAGGATGCTGGTAGATGATGCAATGGATGTTGAAAACGGCGCAGGCAGAAACGCAGAAGAAGTTCTCTTTGACGAAGAAAAAGTACAATTTCTATATATTATCTTTGAAATCCACTGCTTGCCTTTTTCACTTGCTAAATGCATGCCTGTATGAGTTGCAGGTGGCTCAACTGAAGGAGCTCTCAAAACAGCCAGATATATACGAAAGACTGACAAAATCATTGGCACCAAACATCTGGGAGCTCGATGATGTGAAGAAAGGTCTTCTTTGTCAGGTAACACATCTTCCTAATTATGCATTCATTGATTATTTGACTAATTTTCTAAAGATGCTAGTTTGTACTTCTTTGCAGCTTTTTGGTGGCCATGCTTTGAAATTGGCTTCTGGTGCTAGCTTCCGTGGTGATATAAATATTCTTCTTGTTGGTGATCCAGGGACAAGCAAATCCCAGCTACTTCAATATATACACAAACTCTCTCCACGTGGCATTTACACCAGTGGAAGAGGAAGCTCAGCTGTTGGATTGACTGCTTATGTAACCAAGGACCCTGAAACAGGCGAAACTGTATGGACCATGAATACAAGATTTTTTATTCTTCCATACAAGAAACATAATGGAACCTAATTATTTCTGCTTGCACTACAGGTTCTAGAGAGTGGTGCCCTAGTTTTGAGTGACCGAGGAATCTGCTGTATAGATGAGTTTGACAAAATGTCTGACAATGCAAGGAGCATGTTACATGAGGTTGATTACATTCTTTGTCTATATATAGTTGCAAACAAAGAATTTTTGCAGTCATATCTGTCTATTCTTTCTCCAAAACTTGTATGGTATAAGATATATGTTCGACAATTCCCTCAAGACTAAGACTGTCAGCTCTCTACTATCGAATGACTGAAGACTAATGCACTCATTACTTTCTATTCCAGGTAATGGAACAACAAACCGTTTCAATAGCAAAGGCAGGTATTATTGCTTCCCTCAATGCTAGGACTTCAGTGTTGGCTTGCGCAAATCCTAGTGGATCAAGATATAATCCTCGTCTGTCCGTTATTGACAACATACACCTTCCTCCCACACTTCTGTCCAGGTTAGACGCTGGACATAAGCTCCATTAACTAGATTATGGGTCTGGCTGCATATTTATGCAATTTCCTACATAGGCATCTTAATGCTGTTAGCTATTTTGTACCCTGGCATTGCTTCAAATTTTTTATGATTCATTCTCAAGCAAGAGTAATATTAAGCATGCCATTAATCAGTTAATTCTCTGTATCAAACCGAAGTGTGAGAAGTAGGGATTAAAATAGAGGTTTTTAATGATGCCCAGTAAAAATAAACTTCAGTTACTCAACAATTTTGCAGTGGTTACTATGAATTTAGTTGATCTTTGTTCTTGCAGGTTTGATTTAATTTACTTGATTCTTGACAAGGCTGATGAACAGACTGACAGACGACTTGCCAAACATATTGTTTCCCTACACTTTGAGAATCCCGAGGTCCAGAAAACTTGTAATTGTCTCATTCTAGACTAAGATCCAAACTTCAGTGCTTTTGCTTACAATGTACTGTGTCTGTAATTATAGAACATGGAGCAGGATGTATTGGACCTTTTTACGCTAACTGATTATGTTAGCTATGCCCGAAAGCACATACACCCACAGCTGTCTGATGAAGCTGCTGAAGAATTGACTAGAGGTTACGTGGAAATAAGAAGAAGAGGAAATTTTCCTGGGAGTAGCAAAAAGGTAACACCTCTCATTTCTTCAAAATGATTTTATTTTCTGTATATTTACTTGTTGGGTGCTATTAAAATGTTTGTTTCTTAGAATATTACTCAATTGCTCAACAATCTGTTTAGATCATGAATTCCCTTTGTTTGCTGTAATGAGTTGAGTAATTTCGTTACAATTAAGAATGATGTGCATGATAGGTTTCCGTTATTGTCTACAAATAAATTGTGTTGATGTCTATGGTGTGAATGAATTAAATCCTGATATTGGAATTGTGCCGATTTTCAGTTTTCATACTCTCTTCGATATGTATGCGTGCTTGTTTTGGATTTTCTTAATAGTTTCTTTGCTAGGTATGCTAATCTTGTCATTCAATTAAACAGGTGATAACAGCGACACCAAGACAGATTGAGAGTCTGATACGCCTCAGTGAAGCATTGGCTCGGATTCGCTTCTCAGAATGGGTTTGTTAAGCTTTATTTCTTCGTGATGTGTAAAAATGGAATAGCACGTACAGTTATTAAATAGCTTGACGCACACAGGTTGAAAAGCGTGATGTAATGGAGGCATTTCGGCTTCTGGAAGTTGCAATGCAGCAGTCTGCAACGGATCACTCTACTGGTAGCTTCCTAAACAAGCCTGATTTTCTCCTATATTTAACCTAGACAACAAACAAGATCGAAATATGTTTACGTTTCATGTCCTTTTCTCTTCACAGGAACTATTGACATGGATCTTATTACCACTGGAGTTTCGGCAAGTGAAAGGATGAGACGAGAAAGTCTGCAACAAGCAACTCGCCACATAATCATGGACAAGATGCAAATTGGGGGTCCATCTATGAGGTTATTGGAGGTATGCTAGCTTTGCTCTATGAAACATTACACTAGATTGTCAATGTTGCGATGACGTTCTAACATGGATGAAATGATCATTTAGTTGTTGGAAGAATTGAAGAAACAGAATACTGGCATTGAAGTTCATCTTACTGATGTAAGTGTGGCCTTCCCCTTAAAAAGCAATTTTTAAACCTGTGTTTTAGTGGACTAATGGACTAAACTCGTGTTAATACAGCTGAGGAATGCAATTGCTACTCTCGCTAGCGAAGGATTTGTTACCATGCATGGTGACAGCTTAAAAAGGTCGTGATTACATGAGGCTCATTAGTGCTCAGTGGACTTTGATATTTATGGTGGCTACTGGTTTTCTGCATTAATTGTAACCCTTTTAGCCAACAGTTCGGTACCCGGTGCTAAATGTTTCATATATAGTTTTATGTATACAGTAAATTTGTAGGTGTTTAGTGAATGTAATTTTTGGTGATTATTTCATTTCTTGTAACCCTGCCCCTGTCTGAAGTATAAAATAGTTTTACTAGGTAAGCATTTCATGTAATTTCAACATATACATTTCTTAACGAAACCGATATTGTGGCGTGTTGAATTGAGAAAATTTAATATTTATAAAGGATTATTACGTCAAATAACTTCAATACGAATTTTCATTGAAGTAACTTGATCTTAACTTTTTTCTAATATAATTCATAGAACATTAAAATAGATGCCTGCGGTTCTAAGAATACAAAATAGTAGAATTTGATATTTTCAGTATATTGTGCAGTTGATTAAATTATCTGCATATCCTTTATGTAATGCATCAAATTGTATTTTCGTACAGCATTCGAAACAAAGCGTCAATATATATATGCATACATAAGAAAAAGTCTGGGGTCCAATGATAGCAAACGGACACATTTGCATAATGTCGCACCACGAATCCCCGAATGTAGGTGGTTTCATAATGTCCGTGACAGCTACTGGAATTTCTTGTCCTGTAGTTTGAAAGGAATAATTAATTACAGTTTACTTGTGCAGTGACTAATTTAAATAAATATAAAAACATATATTTGTTGAAAAAATTATAAAATTTGAAAATTTTGATACACAAGATTAAATTTGAATAAAAAAAAAAGGACAATATCTGTCTTTTGAAAGGATATTAGTAGAAAAAGATTAAGCATTTTAAAGAGGGTTTATTCAAATTTAACAAGTATTAGTGGAGCAGTTGATATTTGGAAAAGATAATAAATTTTAAGTTAAAAAATATAAGCATATGTGATTTAGGGAGATAAAAGAAATTTTAACATAAAAACACTACAAGTGTTTGTTTAAAAATTATAAATAAGTGAGATTTGAAAGAAAAAAAAAAGTGATGGATTATGATAAAATCACATCACATGTTAACTAAAGAAATAATTTTTTCACAATTTTCTATGTAAATATTTTAAAATAAAAAACAGAATAAAAAGGTGTCATTTTTATAATTATTTATAAAAAGACATGAAATAAAAGTACAAAAATATTTAAGTTAAATAAATTTTAAAGGATGTGTCCAATCACCATTAACTTAAATTGAGAAAATGTTAACCAACATTAATACATTTATACTGTAATTTTAATAAAATTTAATTATTAATTCCATATTTAACAACTAATATCATTAGAACACTAATTAACAAGAATCTTTAATTATTATACTTCGTGAAATTAGCCCACTTCAAATCAAAGTTGGAGAAAAAGTTATTATTTTAACTTTACATAATTTTTCCATTTTAAAAAAATATTTGACTATTTTTTCCCTTGTTTAACATGCGATTTTACCATAATTCATCACTTTCCTTGCTCATTTAATTTTTCATTTGTTTATTTTTTTAGAAGAAATTTTTAATTTTATCTATCAATTTTAAAAATTTAAGATCATATTATTTATTAATTTCTTCAATTATACTTTTATTGTCATCCATTATTTATAATTTTATATATTTATAAAAAATAACGGTGAATAATAAAAGTAAAAAAAAATAAAGAGAATAATAGAAAAAAAAGTACTATATTAAAAATTAAATATAAACGGGCAAATTATACTAAATTATTTGTACCAAAAACCATTTATATCAATCATAGTTATTTTATCATAATATTTTTTATTAATTGAGAAAAGTAAATTATATATATATTATTATTATTATTTTTGGGGGTTACATAAGGTGTGGTAATCGTTGGATTGGGTGCCAGGTAAAAATAGCTGGAAAAATGAAAAAATTTAAAAAGGAAGGGGACGTGAAGGAATTGGAAGCTCGTAATTAGATAGAGAGATTATATTGAGAGTAAGAGAGAGAGGGTTGGGAAGGAGAGAAAGAGAAAGTCTCTCTGACTCTGAGGCCGTAATTGAGACTGAGATCGATCCTTGCCTTGCCTCGATCATCCGTCTTCGAATTCGCAGCAGAGAGAGAGAGAGAGAGAGAATGGGAGAGGTGGCGCGTGGAGGTTGTTGCCCTCCGATGGATCTGTTCCGTTCGGAGCCGATGCAACTGGTTCAGCTCATCATCCCCATCGAATCCGCTCACCGCACCGTCTCCTACCTCGGCGACCTTGGCCTCCTTCAGTTCAAAGATGTCAGTATTCCATCGCTTTCCCTCTCCGATTATTCATAAACCCTTCCTCACTTCTAATTTCTTCGTCGCTAGCTTGTAATTAGGTTTTCCTTTGCTCTCCGATTATAATTTGTCTGCTTATTGATCTAAAAAGAAACTGCGATTTTTATTTTTTATTTTTGGCATAGGATGAGTGCGGGTGTACTCTCCTACTTCATTCCCCTGTTACTGAGTAGATGACTAGACTTATTTTGATATTTTTCACGATCATTGATTAATTAATTGAACCTTATCGCTTTGTTTCTCAAATCGCTGTTGAATGAATGGTGAATGTAGTTTTGGTAATAGAATTTTGATATTGGAAAGCGGAACAGCCTGGAACGATGATATTGATCGTGGTCTCGTCGGATTGTGACTACGGTTTTGTTTTTATAATTTTGGTTTATATCTGTGTTTAATCAAGGGGAAAAGGACTGTGTGGAATAGATTGAGGAAAAGTGATAACTCTGGCAATGAATTAATCAAGCTTGTTACCTAGTTTCTTAAACTGAAGCATGACGACATGCTGCTTTGAGAGGTCTATATAAGCATAATGTGTTTTTTCTTATGTTGTTTCCAGCTCAATGCAGATAAGAGCCCTTTTCAACGGACTTATGCAGCTCAGGTGCGTTTGGTTTCTGATATGATAAACCACTTTTTTTCTTTGCTTCTGGAACCTGAACATAATGCTCTTTGTGTAGAAAAGTTCGATGAAAATGTTTTGCAGTGAATTGTTTTGAATGATGATGATAATTAAGGCCTATCATATATCGCTGGCCTTGTCTGCATTGCATGCAAACTAACTGCTTGACAAAACCTTTTGAAAGTGATAATTATGTGGAAATGTTTTTACTTTCTCTTTGTCTGCTCTTTTTTGGGAATGATTTTTTTATTTGAAAATGACATCCGTTTTGCCTTTTTGTTGTCCTGTTTATCTTTTCATTTTAATTGATGTGCCAAGAATTCTCCTTCATTATAAGATCAATGGCTAGTGATGCAGAGAAGGGGGGGGGGGTTGAGGAGATCCTGGGTAGTGTATTGTGGATAATTTTGAGAGTTTTCCTCTGGAGTTATTATTTCTTGCACATTACTTAACCTTGGAATTTAGCTTTTGGTACATATATTAATAGTATGGTTGGACCGTAACTTGTATCTTAAGGAGGCGTCTTTAGCGCATCAACTGATCTGGGATAAGCCTGTTTGGCATCTATTTGGTCATTTGGTGTAAAGCACATTAATCTTTTTTAGGAGGTTTCCTGACGAATTTTGCTGATGGTTTGGATAGTTTTTCTCCATTGATGTTTTATTTTTCTCTCTGTTATTTTTTTGTTTTGCATTTACATTGTTAAGTAGGATTTGTTGTCCTCCAAAATCATTGTATTTCTTTCTCTGTTTATGAATTTCTTGTTTTACCAACAACAAAATATTGATATTATGTTCTTAAATATGTTTGGGGATGTATATATTGGTCCTTGTGAAGATAAAAAGGTGTGGAGAGATGGCTCGTAGATTGCGTTTTTTCAAGGAGCAAATGTTGAAGGCAGGTGTTTCACCAAAATATTCCACAATACCAGCTGGTGTGAACATTGATGACCTTGAGGTACACAAACATGCTTGTAGACAAAGTTGGTTTCCTCTTTCTTTTGATTTATCTTTTTAGTTGACATCTGTTATGTCTTGAAATAGGTGAAACTTACAGAAATTGAGTCAGACTTAATTGAGATGAATGCAAATGGTGAAAAATTGCAGCGCTCATACAATGAACTTGTGGAGTATAAGCTTGTTCTGCAGAAGGTACATTCTTCTATGCTTAAACCACAAGCTATTATGTGTATTGTATTCTAATATTATGAATAATCAAGGGAGAACTATGCTAATTATCTACTGCTTCATATTTTTTTTAAGGGGTCTATAATGAGCACTATGCTCTTTCATGATATATAGTTATGAAAATAACTAAAGAAAGGGTAAATTGATGACTTTTCCTTAATTACATGGAATCATGAAACTAGAAAATGTTTATGAGTGCTAAGATGTTCCACATTGATTAAGAATATGACTGAAATACTCAATATAAGACTAAGGCAATCCCCTTCCTTGAGCTATCTTTTAAGGTTGAGTGTGGCTCAATCCATTTCAAATATGGTATTAGAGCCTATTTAGTATTAATGTTGGAAAACACAGATTGTCAGTTGTGCATACTTCATGTTCCATATGGCTTATTTTAGGCACGAGAGAGTATGTTAAGATATCTTACATTGGCTAGTAATATGAACAAAATAATTATTATAAGACTTGGACAATTTCCTTCCCCCAAAACTAGCTTTCGGGTTAAGCTTGGTCCATTTCTAATACTAAGTATTTTGGATTGATGTTGTACTAGAACTAGAATACATGGAAGTTTCACTTTTACCCATTGTTGTTTGGATCATCTCATTTTGTTTTAAAAAATGTCTATAACCATAACCTTGGAGAGAGTGTTTTTAGCTGGAAAGGCTGTTTTTGTGAAACTCACTAAAATCAAATATTTTCATTTGAATCAATTCTGAACTTTTATTTTCTACTCTTTGTAATCCTAAATGAAACTCAATTTATTTCCATATACTTGCTTGGGGGCTTCTTGACTTGCATTATTCCTCTGCTTATTAAATTGTTGCATTGAGGATAAATTTAGCACAAGTAAATGTTTTCATGGTGTTCCCCTCTCATACTCATCATTTCTCTAATTGAGCCCCTTCATCCTTATTTCTCCTCATTAATCTAATTGATATCCCATCTAACTAACTAAATGCTCTTACTGTCCCTAACTACTCCCTACCCTTCTGTCCTAATACTTGGCAGTCTGAAACTAGGATTTGCTTGATAGAAGGCAAAATGAAGTTGAAAATGTGGCATGGCTTATACTTGTACTTCTACATTTGTGTATGTTGATTGGACTAAATTTGTAAAATGCATGTAGTATAATGCAGTTTATCAATTTTTTGTGTATGTTGATTGGGGTGGTCAAATATCCCTTGAATCAGTAATCATTCTCGATACTTTTTTGATTGCTAAAGTTTAACATTCTATTAATGCTGATGTCTGGATATGGGAGGTATATTAGCTTTCTATTGTTATTGTATAGGGTTGAAATTTTAGACATATAATGTAACTCTTAAGGTATGACAGGCCAATCATTAAATAGTTGTTTTGCCTTTTCAGGCTGGGGAATTTTTTGTCTCAGCTCAAAGTCGTGCCATAGAGCAGCAGAGAGAATATGAATCACGTCATCTGAGTGGTGAATCGATGGAAACACCTTTGTTACAGGACCAAGTAGGCTTCTTATTGCTCATATCTAACTTTTTTCTTTTATAAAATTGGCGATAGCCTTTTTATGATGAACTGGTTCCTTCTGCTGGTTTTGTTGTGAAGGAATTGACAGGTGATTCATCAAAGCAAGTTAAGTTGGGATTTTTAGCAGGTCTTGTTCCCCGGGAGAAGTCCATGACATTTGAGAGAATTTTATTTCGAGCCACTAGAGGAAATGTATTTTTGAGGCAGGCTACTGTTGAGGATCCTGTCATAGACCCTGTTTCTGGAGAAAAGGTGCTTATCTATCTTTCCTCCATCCTCATAAAATCTATAAAATTAAATAGAGTTGTACTGTTGCAGGCTATTATTAATTTTCATATATTGCTGCATGCAATATAGCTGTACTAAACCATACTGAAATCTTGTCCAGAGGCATGCTAGTCTGGATGAATTCAATGGTTCTTTTTTAGAGTTTGTATGCATAATGGGTGCTATTGTGCATCATTACATAAACCTCATTAGATACAGTGAGTTTGTTGGTCTAATTACTTAGGTCTGTTGACTATTGATTCTTGTCAAGAATGTATTGTGCAATGTGCACACACATAGCACAGCTTGCCTTGCTCTTCTAGAAAAAAATCATTGACAGTTTCCTCTGTTAATTGTGTATTTTCTTTTGAAATATGAATAGGAGGCCAAGTTCTGTTGATTGTTTTGTATATTGGATTTTCCTATTGTATTTGACTATTATGTTAAATTTTTAATGTTGTACAGAATGTCAGAATGAAAAATGGAGGTAATATTCAGTGATAAGCTAATACTTTTCAATGCCGTACCTATAAATATATGGTTGTTAGTGATTGTATCAAAAAATGAGGTTTTTGATTCATGGTTGAAATAAATTTCTCCCTGTTGATTTATATTTTTCTATTTTATATTCTATTTTATGTTGACTGACGGATGTTCACCTGCAGACTGAGAAAAATGTGTTTGTGGTCTTCTATGCTGGTGAAAAAGCAAAAGCCAAGATTCTGAAAATATGTGAAGCCTTTGGTGCTAATCGTTATCCTTTTGCTGAAGAACTTGGAAAACAAGCTCAAATGATTACAGAGGTTTGTAACTGGTTCTTAATTTTTCTAAGGAAAATTTTCTGCACTCCCCCCCCCCCCCCAAGTCTCTTGGTGGTGTAGTACTGCTTTATCTCAGTATAATGAATTGATTGCCATAAATGATTGGATATTGAATTCCTAGATAAAATATGGATTCGCCTCTTTTTATATTTTTATTGTGGGTAATATGCGAGATATAGTGTTAAGATTAAATGAAAACAATGTGATTCACCCTCCATGAGTGAACACTAGCTTTTGTTGTGGCCCTAGGGTGGCCAAGAGAGGATTGGCTCAATTTCTAAGTTTTTCTGTGATGTCTTCTGTAACCATTAGGCATTGAGTGAGTGGCCAAAAGGTAATTAAGAATCATTTCCTCCAAGATGTTCTACATAACCATGCTTACAGTGAGACAGTGAGTACTGCAAACATGTAGTCCGTTACTGATTGTGATGTTTACACATGCTGTTATTGAAAGCAAATATTTGTCAGAACAGTTTATAATTGGTTGATTGTGTAACTTAGATATTCTTCCTTCATAGTTGCATCACTCAGACTTTGTGCTCCTGAAATGATTCTTACTGGTGAAAGAAATTATCTAATAATAAAATTAATCATTATAGTTGTTTGCAGATAGCCTAATCTTTCTTTTTTATGTGTAACAATGGCATTTATCTAGCTAAGTTGTTTTTATGCATGTTTTATTTCAAAGAAACCTCATCCTTTGTCTGTGCAATGTATTAGGAAACCTACAACTTTTTAATTGTCAACAATTTTAACAAATTCACTTGCAGGTTTCTGGAAGACTTTTAGAATTGAAGACCACTATAGATGCTGGACTCTTGCACCGCGACAACTTGTTAAATACTATTGGGGCTCAGTTTGAGGAATGGGATCTATTGGTAAGCCAAAAATTAAACCTCACCATGTTCTAACATTAAGCATGTGATTAACATGAATGTAGATGCCCAATCTCCTACTTTCTTCATCTTGTTTTTGAGTAATTTTACTTCTAAAGTATGCAAGTTACTCATAGATTATTCTTTTTTGTTTTCCATTGGCATCAATGATTAATTTCTCTTCACTTGACAATATTCTTTAAACTCATGAAGGTGAAAAAGGAGAAATCTATTCACCATACCTTGAACATGCTAAGCCTTGATGTGACGAAAAAATGTCTTGTGGCTGAGGGGTGGAGTCCTGTTTTTGCATCTAAGCAGGTATTTATTGTACTTGCAGGTTCCTTTTATCATGGATTTTCATTTGGTCTGGCCAGAGTTAATACTTCTTGATGGTAAAATTGATTTTATGGAACATACCTTAATTTTCAGATACAGGATGCATTACAGCGGGCAGCATTTGATTCTAATTCTCAAGTCAGTGCCATTTTTCAAGTTTTGCATACTAGGGAGTTGCCACCTACCTATTTTCGCACAAACAAATTTACTTCTTCATATCAAGGAATTATTGACTCATATGGGTGAGCATCATGCTGATTTCTTTTTTTCCCCTTTTTATTCATTTATTTGTAGTTGTGTTTTTTTGTGCAAAGAGGAGATTTAGTTATTAATAATATGTGCAGAATAAGTGCAACATTCATATTGTTTCCATGATCACATGTTTGCAATATGTTTCACTGTAAGTTTGATGTTCAATATACCATTAGAGTTTGGACATACCAAAATAATGATGTTTATAGTTGCAGGTCATGATCAACATATAATTAGATCAATCATTTTCACAATCTGATAAATTTTTGTTGTTCTACTAGAAGTAATATTGTGGAGTGTGGACCCCTCCACTAGCACTACCCATTTTGGTTATCCCTTTTTTTTGGCAGATATTTATTAATATACCATCTCCAATTTGTGATTCATTGGACTTGGTCCGCTGGGCAAAAAAAAAAAATTCAATTTATGAATGGTTTCATTTAAATTCAAATATTGATGGATATTTTATGTCTTGAATAAAACTATCAATTTCACATCACATTTAGACAGAGTTGAAGGCATATTCTGGTTCTGGACCCACCTGAATTTGTCCTGCACTTCAATAGCAATAAAGTAATAGGTTGAGTAAGCAAACTGAAGTAATTGGAATAGCAGCCACAATGTAAAAATAGACAGGGAGGTTATGTGGACAAGATTTGAGACTTGGATGGAAATTCATTGACATATTATTTAGAAATGAGAATTCTTAAGTTCATATTATCTGAACAATTCTAATGCAAAAGTTAAATATAGTTGATTTCTTCCATTGAAGTGCTTTACTTTCTAAATATATTGGTCAAAATTTATATTGAAATGTAAAAAGAGAGAGATTGCAATTATCCTGACAGTTTAAGAACTTACTCCCATATTTGTTTCTTTTATTTTTGAAAGATATCAATCTTATACTGTTAATTTTTTATACTGGTATTTCAGGGTTGCTAAGTATCAGGAGGCAAATCCTACTGTGTATACTGTGGTCACCTTTCCATTTCTTTTTGCTGTAATGTTTGGTGATTGGGGGCATGGAATTTGTTTACTGCTGGCAGCTCTATATTTCATACTAAGGGAGAGGAAGCTTTCTAGCCAGGTGACCTTTCAGTTTGCCTTGAAAACTCACCCTTTAAATTTTATTTTAATGGGAGAAATAAGTAGATTTTCTCCGCCCTAGCAGAAAATGTCCAAGTTTCTCTTGTGCTATGCATGATGACTTGATGAGTGTATATGCATTACCCAACTGGTAATTAGTGCTGACATTTTGATGAGGTTAGAGTCCTTGTGGTCAGTGAAAACCTTTATTTAACTACGGAGAAACTCTTCTATAGCATATAGTACTGCATGATGAATGATGACTGATGACATTTGAGATACAGAATTATTTCTGGAGTATCAGGAGTGCTTTAAATCATTCAAATTGGTGGTTGTTTTTACTGTAAAAAGATCATCATTTCTTATTGGTGTGTTAATGGGGTAGGTCCTCTTCATTCCCAATGAAGGTGGATTTGGGTATTTGGCTGCTGGTCCCATGAAGTTGTTGCAAAGGACATTGCTAACCCACCCAGATAACTAACACTTCTGACCACAATTTCATTTTTTTCTTGTAACTATAGATAATGAAAAATCTTTGCAATTTGGTGAAAACTTTTCAACTTCTGCTTGGTGGTGCATTACTTTTATTCTTCCTGCATAATTATATTTCAAGGTTTTTTTTTGTTTTGTTTTTTTTGTGTGTATATGCACATGTTTTAGCCAGTCTACTAACATGGAATCTTTGGGTGAAAAACAGAAGCTTGACGACATCACAGAAATGACTTTTGGAGGTCGCTATGTTATTTTGTTGATGGCACTCTTCTCAATTTACACTGGCTTTATCTATAACGAGTTCTTTTCTGTCCCATTTGAAATCTTTGGTCCCTCTGCATATGAATGTCGTGACCTTTCTTGCAGGTAAATCAAAACCCGTTGATTCATAACATTTAATATTGCGCAATATGCTTTCATTAAGCTCGTCACTGTCTTTTATGCTCTTTTTGTATCCCCTCCTTTTGCTGCAGGGACGCTACAACAGTGGGCCTGATAAAAGTGCGTCGCACTTACCCTTTTGGAGTGGATCCTGTATGGCATGGTACTCGAAGTGAACTACCATTCTTGAACTCTTTGAAGATGAAAATGTCAATTCTTCTCGGAGTTGCTCAAATGAACCTTGGAATTATAATGAGCTATTGCAATGCCAAATTCTTCAAGAACAATGTAAACGTGTGGTAAGTTACTAAATAGGTATTTGAATGGTACTTATTATCACATGTAGTTATGTGCAGTTATTTCTGCACTGATTCTGTCTATCAGTATAAACTTGCTTACTAATTTAAAATTAATGTGATTTTTTTTTCAATTTCAATATTTGACTCTTTCAGGTTCCAATTTATTCCCCAAATGATATTTCTGAACAGTCTGTTTGGTTACCTATCCCTTCTAATCATTGTCAAGTGGTGCACTGGTTCTCAAGCTGACTTGTACCATATAATGATCTACATGTTCCTGAGCCCAACAGATGAGTTGGGGGAGAACCAACTCTTTGTTGGCCAGAAAAATCTACAGGTTAGTTATACTTCCAAGACCACCTAGACACCTTTTTAAGTTTGAATGATGTATTTCTATTTGAATAACATTTACATGCTTTGTAATCGTTCTGTTTTTAACAGCTTGTGCTTTTGCTTCTGGCTTTTGTCTCTGTGCCCTGGATGCTATTGCCAAAACCCTTTATTCTGAAGAAGCAACATGAAGCGGTATGTTTTTGAACTTTTTTTGTATTTGTTTGCATGGAACTTCTATATTTGTTCTAGTTCTAACTTCTAATAGTTGTACACTTATACTACTTCAGAGGCATGGGGTTGAATCCTATACACCACTTCAAAGTGCAGACGAGAGCTTGCAAGTTGAGTCAAATCATGATTCTCATGGTCATGCGGAATTTGAGTTCAGTGAAGTCTTTGTTCATCAACTCATACACACCATAGAGTTTGTACTTGGAGCAGTCTCTAATACAGCTTCCTACCTCCGTCTATGGGCCCTTAGGTATGTTCGTAAGTAGCAATTGTTCTAGTCTAATACTAATGCTTGAGTCCCACCGGATAAACAACATTGGGGCCTCACATCATGCAGATTATTGCTTTTGTTTATGTATGCATCTATATATATGTTTTATGCGGGTATTAGATCGCAGTAGTGCATTTACTGAGTTTTCCTTTATTTGTACCCAGTCTTGCTCATTCAGAGTTATCAAGTGTATTCTACGAGAAGGTTCTGATGATGGCATGGGGGTATGTTATATATTACTGTTACATTTTCTTACTTCCATGATGTGGATTGTGAAGGGTAAAGTGGTCAGCGTTTAACATGAACCGATGGGCTATAAACGCATGAGCCTCACTGGTTCTTGTTGCTCAACGGTCATTGTTCATTCTCTAAATCATTCAGTTTTTCTCTAACTCAATTACTCTGCCTGATGTCACAGGTACAATAATGTGATTATCCTGATAGTGGGTCTCATTGTCTTCATTTTTGCTACCGTTGGAGTGTTACTTGTCATGGAAACTCTGAGTGCCTTCTTACATGCGTTACGACTTCACTGGGTGGAGTTCCAAAACAAGTTTTATGAGGGCGATGGTTACAAGTTTCACCCTTTCGCGTTCTCATTGCTAGACGATGAGGAATGACATCCCTCTAAAGTAGCATTAATAAGAATGAGGAGTTATATAGCTTTGGACCGGAATTGATTCTTTCATTTGATGGTGTAACAAGTCAGTGATTGGTATCTGCGCACTGCGGCATTGTATGCGATGAAATCCTTGGAGCTTTTTCATCGAACATCGTGCCGTATTTTGTTTATTTATCCATTGAGGGAATAAATATTTCCCAATTAGGGGAGTAACATTGTACGAGCTAGGCAGGCGTGGTCAGGTGTAATAATTATAATTTACAAAATAACTTAATATTGATATCTTAATTTGTTTTATTTTACAATAAGTATCCCTAGTTTGATGTCTTTACATAATATTGGAATGATTCAGTAGTAATTAAAAATGAAAGCATATTTGCTGGTACAACGTGAAGTTATATGGCCCTGCCATCTTTTCTCATCATTAAATTTAAGAAGTAATCACCATTTTATTTCTCATCATTTTTATGATTTATTAAAATAGTTTTCAAGCTAAAAAAAATAGTCATATTAACTCAGCTTATACAATTGGTAGTTATTTTGGTTCTTAAAATAACACACAGTTAACTGGGCTAATAAAAATGTTAATGAGACATGTAAGGTGGCCTTAATGATGGGTGACGTTAAAGGAATTATTTTTGTTATAAAAAGGAATTACTTTTGAAGTTTGTCAATTTAGATTCTGGAATTCTAAATCTAAACAAAATATCGTTTTTGTCTTTATTGTTTTTATCTCAAACTTAACTCTCCTGAAACCTTTTCTTCATTGTCATCTACATTCACTTATGCTGTCTTCGTCACTTTTAAAGTTTAAAACCATTTAAAAAATGCAAAGAAGAAATGTGCTACGTGGAGAACGCAACGTCAACGTCACCACAGCAACGTCAACAAATGTTTCGATGACTCTTGCAGTTCATCTCTAATTGCATTTTCAACTCCCCAATTTCATTTCACCAACTCTGCCTTTCTCTACTTAAAATCACACTACTACGTTTGCACTACCCATTATCCCCTTTCTCTTCCTCCTGATTTCAACTCATCTTCACTGTTGTAGTTGCTATGGTAGTCCCTTAACTCATCAATGTTCCCAACTTCAATAAATTGTTTGTCTTTGTGATTCACCCATCCTTGTTGTGATTCATGTTGAAAATAAGTGAGGAAGAGGCGATGGCGGGAGAAAAGGTTGTTGACAACGAGAAAAAGGTCTCAAGAAGGACCAAGTTGGAGACGAAAATGACTTTTCTATGTTCTAGGGACTAAATTACCGAACTTTAGAAACTATTGCTCCCATGCTACCCAATATCAAAGTTACATGTGCATCTCCTTTGTTGCTTTACGTGTTATATTAGCCTCTCTGTTAGCTTAGTTAACAATCGGTGGTTCTACGGACAAAAATAAAAAACGATTGATGATTGTATATATTAGGAGTTAATATAACTATTATTTTAGCTTGATGATTATTTTATTGTGCCCTAAAAATTATGAAAATTATAATGATGATTTCTCCTTAAATTTAATCGAGACCTTCTTGTGTTTAAAAAAGGTGAATGACATGAACAAACTGTACATACATTGCATGAATTATCATAAATATAAATGAGATGTAGAAGTACAAATTCAAAAATATTTTATTTATAAAAATTATTTTTTAATAATAACATATAAATTAGAATTCAAAAGATAATTTTTTTAGACTATATGTATTTTTCAATAAAAACAATCATATTCAAATTGAGTAGGATAACTATAACCAGTAAGCTCTTTTTCTAATTATTTAATAATGTTATACAATTTTTATTATACTTAATATATATTTAAAATTTTAAAAATTTAGAAAGTATTAAATTGATTTGACATAAAATTTTATTGTTTCAAAATTAAGAATATATTATTATATTAAATTTTATATTATGTCTAAGACTAAAATTTATTATGCAAAAGTAGAAAAAATATAAGGGACGTGAAATAATGCCGTTTATTAACAACACACTGTACAGTTGCTTGTAATATTTTGCAAATGAAGAGCAAGGTTTGAATTTAAATATTTCGCGAAAAAATTACTCGCACTCAGCTTACAGTTGTTTGTAATATTTTGCAAATGAAAGAGCAAGCCCTCGGTTATAAATATGTAAATTGAGAAAGTACATTTTCACTTATCTTAGATTTAAAAGTTAGTAATATAAAATAAATGTTTAAATTAAATTAGTAATAAATATATACTTCTTTTTTTTTTTACTCTACACATCTTCTAAGATAATTAAATCTCATAAATAAAGGGTCTAGAATCTGTTTCTAAAGATTGTATGGGTTAATTGCTTCGGCACCGCTTTAAAACGGGGGTGGCAATTCATATTTTATGGTAAAAAAAACAGAACAGATAAGACTATTATGTTTAATTAAAGTGAACTAAGCAAACATACATCTTAATCCTACTGAGTATTTGTATGAACAGCTGCCACAGTTGAAACCATGGAGTCCACCCCACAGATATTTCGTCCTCGGCAAATCTTGTAGTATCCATTTTCTCCCCAGTTCTCTCCCCAGGAGTTTTTAATGATCCAATATTGCTTCTCCTTCATCCGAATGGGTGCATAGGCACCAGAACCATATCCCACCAGTAAGACCCCATGATCCAGCCGTCTTGAACATATGTATGGGCATGACACTCCCCCAATATATGTCTGCATAAACACTGCATTGATGGCCACTGCATTTGTGCCCATTCAAAGTGCCGTGAGATATTAGGAATTAAACTGAATAAAAATTGCTCCAAACAGAGTAGGTAGTTCATAGTAGTAGCACTCACCTGCAAGAGGACCATTCTTCACAAGATTCGCAGCAATCTGGTTTTCATCAAGTGAAACGACACTGAAGTTTGCAACTGATGCTGCAATCTTTGCTCTGTCAAATTTGCAGATCCCTTTGTCAGTGCCAGAATAAGGATAGTCTTCCTCGCGCATGACCCCACCAGACTTAAGGATGTACTCAAAAGCACTATTCATCAATCCACCGTTGCACCCGGAGTCGCAAGAACCCGGTTCATCTGGATCACACTGCACACAGGAATGTGTCGATTTTAGACAAAATAAGCAAGGAACAGCTGCTCGTTGATAATCCTTCTCCCTTTTCATGTTTCAATCTTTAAATTCAAAAGAATTCATTTCACTGTTACGAAACTAGTTTAGAATGATTAATTCAAGAATTCAGTTCATTTACAAATTATTTAGCGGGTAAATATCTTATGATTTATCATTTCCCTTCTGAGATAATTTGTAAAGTATTTATTTCAAATACTTTTTTTTGTCAATTCTAAAACTGAACTGTTCCAACCCTATATACGTAAGGAACCTGCAAGGTACACATATTTAAATGGTGATTTTAAAATGATACGAACACTTGGATTGGAACACATCTATTATCTAACAATACCATACTCTCTGTCATTGGCAGTCAAGAGAACATCCGATGGCTATATATGACTTCCATAAAGCACTATGGCAGACTCAGAATTTGAAATCAATAATAAAAAGAGTATAGTTACACTAGAATAGTTACACTAGAAATACCTTAATGCAAAAATGCCAAATTATATTATAACTCCATCATGCCACTTACACTACTAAAGACCCCAAAATAGAATCAACCATTATGCTTCATCTACATGTGTAAATCTAATTTTCCAGAGGACATCCATCAAACTTGGTCTATTAAATTAAATTCAGACAAAAATTACATCTTAACAAGCAATGATAGAGAGTATAGAAATAGATACACAGGTAATATCAAAAAGTTGCATGAACAACAATGGGCTAAAAGTTGTTAGACACAAACCTCGTGATCACAATCAACAAGTTGCTGCTCGCTAAGACTTACAAGCTCCCCTGTAGCGAGAAAGTGAGCACCTTCGAGTGCCCCAGTGGTGCTGAAGCTCCAACACGAACCACACGAACCCTAATTCCCAAAACAATCAAAATCAAACATTAATTCAAATAAGCCAAAAACAAAACCCAAACAGCCACAACATCGGTACCTGATTCTTGACAGAGGTAACTGCTCCATGATCTCTCCAATCAAAATCGTTTGGAAGATTATCGATGGGGAGAATGGGAGCCTTATTCGCATCGGAAGGCAACCTCACACCTCTCAGTCCCAAAACGTTCTTCCGAAACTCCGACGGTGTCAGGTCGGAGAACCGAGTCACGCCGTGAACCGCCGAAGGGTCCAGACTCTGGTGGCGCCGAGCGCGGCGCAAGTTAGCCTTGAACACCCTGAACCTGTAATCATGCTCTTCCTGGGAAGCGTAGGCCTTGCCAAACCTACGCTTGAAGTCCAAAAAGTGGTGCTCTGCACCCAACCTCACGCCGTCGACCACCTGCCGGATGAAGGTGTCTCCGTCGCCGTCGGAGGAAATTGCAGAGACGAAGAGGACGGAGAAGAGAGCGAAGAAGACGAGAGTTCGATTCATATTGAGAATGAAGAGTGAGGAGTTGAGAAGAAACTTTCGTTTATATATATATAACGAATTCACGTAACGGTTATGCTAAGAATGGATCTTGCAATTACTTGGGAGAAAGGTTAAGTATATTAAGTATTAACCAATTGAAACATCACAAGTGGATTTCGCTGTAACTTTGAACAAGAAGCCCAAATAATATGATGAGGCCCAAATTAGTACTGAATTTCAACCCAGCCTGTTAATTATTTTTGGTCCAAAAATGAGTCTTTCATTTTCTTAAATTGAAATTTCGACCTTTGTTTTCGCCTTATGAAATTATCAAGTTAGCTTATTTCTTATTTAAAAAATATTAGTAAAGTATTCTTTAACGTATTTTTTTAACATGCTTTTTACGGTTGATTAAAATTATTTATTAAAAACTAATGCATAGCCTTTTTATGATGTAAGTTTAAAAATTCTTATATTTAATTTGAGTCTTTCATTTAATTTATATCTAATGAGTTATAATTTATTATTTCACTTACCATTAAATGTAAGTTAAATAAAAGATTTAGATTAAATTTAAAAATTTTTAGACTTTTATTGGTATAAGAACATCATGTCCTATATATATATATATATATATATATAAAATATCAATTTAGGAGTGAAAAAAGTGAGATCAGTATTTTTGTAAATTTTAATTAAGTTTAGTTAACAATAAAGTAAATATTAAATATGTGTTTCAACGAGTGTGTTAGCGTTATTCCTTTTGTAGTTTGTGTGGGTTTGTCAACTTTATGCTAAAAGTTTACGACGGTCAAAATTAGAGCTCAAATCCACCACTGCTGTTGATCAAGAAAATAGGTCAAATGGTAAGATATAGCATGTGTGAATTGATATGGAAACTTTATTACTAATGCTAAGTGCTTTAGATAATTTATTTTGAAATTAGTCTGATGGTTCCAGCTAGTAAAAAAGTAGCAAGAATTGACAGGAAAACAATGCAATTTTCAGAGTTATATAAACTAGTGAAATTGTTTTTCAGTCTCTTCCTTAGCCATCTAATTGTGTATTATGCTTTCAGAATGTGATGGTGATGATGTAACCCTTGATGGTTCTTTGTGGGATGGGTCTGATGACAAGTTGGATAGTTCATCAGATTTGGACAGGGAGTGGCAGAGGAGGCATGATCAATTCCATACGGTGTTTCGAATTAGTTTTCCTTATTCTAGTTTCTAATTTCTTACTTTCTAATCAGTGATTAGCAATTTATTTTCATTTGGCATCATATTTTAGATTGGGTATCGAGATGGTCTTATGGCAGGGAAGCAAGCTTCTGCACAGGAGGGGTTCAATATTGAATTAGTTTTCCTTGCTGGTTATAGCTGGTTATTTGAATTTTAACTCTATAACTGGTTCCCTAATTTATTTATATTTTTGAAATTTTGTTTTTGGCTGTTTGCTTCTTGTGAAGTGCTTTTTCTCATCTTCCATGTCAATTAAATTTAAAAGAGAGGTTGGTAGAGATACTGGAAAAACGAAACGAATTCCAAGGGGTGTATGAATCAATGCACTGTTTGTCAACAACAAATGCCCTTAGATTGTTTAATGAAGAAATCAAAGCACATGAAGCTTTGGAACAGAGTGAACAAGCTCAAGTTAGTCATCACGCTGCAGGTTTGCAAGAGCAACCTTCCCATGTACAAATCTATAACTATATTTTGGGTAAGACAATTTGGCATAGAATGATAGAGTTGCTTGTAGAACATATCTTCCATTTTTATGATTGTAGAAACAGATCTATTGTTTTAATTGTTGAGTTTCATACATTTTAAAAGAAATTGTTTTGCTGGTAACGAAAACTAAATTTTCAATAAAAAAAAATTATAGTTGTATCTGTCCTTTTATCTTTTTTTCTTAGCGTCAGTAGTATTGATCATAAATATAATTGGCAATTAAACTTAATGGTCAAAGCAGAATTAGCTCTTAACCTTTCGTCGAATCCACCATTGGCAATAAATAAATAGATAATGTTGCACTTGCGGCTTCAACTTAAAATTTAAACACAGTTGAATCCAATAAAACAAGTTGAAATGTGCTTATAATTGCTTTCTGAACTGTAACAAGAAGAACCTCAATATTATTGAGCTTGATAAAAAATCAAGTTGAGCATGTAGTTAAAAAAAAAAAATCTCAGTGGAGTGCATCATCACGTCATTTTTTCATAATTTTACATTATGAAGTAATTATAACTACTTTTTGCTTAAATTTCCCCTAATTGGACTTTTTAACTCGGTAGTTTATAGTTGTTTGTTCATTAGTCTCGTATATATATGGCTTGAGCTAGACACGATACTGGCTGTGTTGTTTCCTTCATATCTTACATTATGCTCTTCATCATGAATTAACACGGCAGAAAAAGTTTATTCTTTATCTGATCTCTACACTGTTAGTCTGCATTTTATAATTCCTCGGTGCACATATGTATAAACTACCAAGCACAATCTGAATTACAAAACCTCAGCAAGTCAGCGTTATTATATTTCATTGAAATTATTATTGAACACAACATTCACTAGCTGTATTTCTATAATTCCTGATGATGAAAGATAGAAGAAAAAATTATATATAAAGCACATATTATTAGCTATGCTCCTGCATGATACAGACAAATTGAAAAAATTAACAGATTCGAAGCACAATTTCCCTGTATTATAACATTACAAAAATATCAGTGCATCAAACACAACATAAAGAAAGTAATCACCAAAGTAATATGACAAATTTGTGGAGCAAATCCACACAGCTTAGGGGATCCACAAAATCTCACTCGTGTTTCAGTTTCCATGTAAAAGTCACACGACCCTGCAACTTGAATTTTCTCCAATCTTCAAAGAGGAGATGCATAACAAGTTACTCCTTGTGACAGGTTTTCAGATTACTCCAGGTCCTGGAAATCGCCTTTTTGCGGGTGTCTTAGTCCTTTGATTCCTGTGCAATATAGCACTTTTCAAAGGAATCAGAGAAGGGATAAGAAAACCTCAGTTTTTAACCCAGCAACTTACATCAGCTACATGCTTGAATAGGTCTTGCATGAGCAAAGGGTGAATCATTTCTCATGCGAGTTTCACATTTAGGTATTGACATTACTGTTTCAAAAGCTTCAACTAGTAATGCCACCTTCTTTTTCCCTGCTGGAGCAAGTCTTGTGACAGTTTGTCTGAGTGCAAAATCAAGCATCCATTCCTCTGCGTTTTTTCTTTCATCTATCATTTGGTGCTTCAGGTCAACCTTCTGTGGTTCTGGGTCAGGAGCCATGGGCAGCAAATTCGGCTTTCGGGGATTGATCTTTCTCATTTCCTCATCATCTTCCATAGGCCTCTTGCGCTTAGTTGCACATTGCCACTTCTTGCTTGTATGCTGCTCTTCACCACCCGTGCAGCTTCTGCTCTGAAACTTACTAGATTTAACTTGATTTTCCTCCAATATATTCTGCCTTATTTTATCATCATTATTCTCTTGGCTTACTTTGCTGTCTTGGCTATCATCAATCTTGCAAGTGTCACTAGTCTTGTGGCCTTCACTATTGACAACTGTGGCTGCATCAAGTACCATTGAGACACAACTGGCCTCGTAATCCACATATTTATCGTTTTCTCTACTGTTATCTCCTGCATCTGTGTTATTCTGAAATACTTCCTCTGTCAAAGTATATTGGTTATACTCAAAACTCATATTGTTGGATGGATATTCTTTTTCTTGAGTATCCAACTCGATGCTTTCATTGGTTCCTTCTTGGACAAAATTAGTGCAATGATGTTGTGGTTCAAAACATGTGCTTTTCTTTTCTTCGGCTTCTTGGGGTGTCTTTTCAACAAGAATGTCTTCGTCATGGCTGCTAAAGATGTCATCTAACCACATTTCACACGTATCATGCGAACACTCTGATAAAGACTCAAGTTTTGAGCCAGTCTCATCCATCGAGCGGATGGAAGAACCAATATCCTCTTCATAGTTGAATTCACGGAATTTTTCCTCCTCCCAGTCCATATCAGTGTACTGGGAATCGGACTCATCCAATTCAATATTCTCCTGGTGTTTCCCATCGCAGTAGCTTCTCGTACAGGTTTCTTCATGAAACCCGCCAGGTGGGTGGTTTTCATCGGCATCTTCAGCATTTTGTTCTAAGTGAAAGCTCCCCTTGCTATCTGCTTCAACTGCAGCAGCATCATCAAAGTAGTTTTTAAAATCCTCCTCGAAATTGATCTGGGACTTTGGGATATCATGAGTCGCACCTGGAATAACTTGCTTGATGTCATTCTCTTCTGCTGCAGTGCCATTCTTCTCGTTTGCAATAACCATATCTTTTTTATCCTCAAGGTCTTTGACAGAGTTGAATCTTCCCATTTTGTCAGCTCGTTCCTTTTCCTCATCATAAATTTCAATAAAGAAATCCCTATCAATTTCTTGTACCAAGGAAGTGATTATTGGGTTACCCTTATCAGCTTCATCACGTGGAAGTTTTCCATCAAGGACAACTTGCTCAATATCAGAGTCTTCTTTTGTATCACGTGGCACCTTCAATCTCCGAGGGCTCACAACTTCTGGCTTTATATTCTTCTGAGTCTCCAAAAGATGCCTCCTTGCTGACATGAAGCTCTTCAATGGAGGCAAAGAAGCATGACCATGGTCATTAAGAGAACAATATGCATATGGGCAAACCTTCATGACTGAAGCTCCCTCAGACTCGGTTCCCCCAGGATGAAGCGTGAGGTATGCAGGGAACTTTGAGTCTTTCAAAGTTGAAGAGCAGGTAGCTTTATCTGGTGCATTCATATCTTCAAACAAAACTGCTGAAGTAGATTTTCTCGAACAAGCTTTACAAGGCATAAAACTTGGACTCTTTGTCAATGTTCTCACCGAATTCAAACTAGATGATCTTGACAAAGTATTTGCAGGATCTTTGCTAGAAACATTGGTAGCTTTTGAAATACTCGAGCATTTTCGTGGTGGATTCTTACCATTTGAACCGGATGGAGTATTCTGAAGACTCACCAGCAAAAGCTCCTTTTTTGCATCTGAACTGGTTGTAGGTTTCATGTAATTTGGTGACCTTCTCACCAACGGCTTCTGCTGTTGTGGTAGTGCAGCAATTGTTGGAACATGAAGAAGTGGTGCTTGTCTTGATTGGAATAAGCTCTTGACTGAAGGTGGTGATTGAGGATGCTCCAAATCAGAACGCTTAATTGACCTGGACTCCTTCATTTCATTCATCTTATCAAATCCTTTGCTTTTGCCGTCTTGGTGCTGAGAGGAAGATGACTTCAGGAGTGCCAAATGCTTATCAAATTTGACATGATCAGCTTGGATACCAACCTTCCTTGGAACCATTCTCTTAACCATATTCAAAAGAAAACCACCCAAATAATAAGAGGGTATTTGGAATCAAAATTACTTTTCCTTTCTGTGGTGGCGTTCAAGCACAAGAAGAAAAAAATAAATCTTCTTGTGCTTCGGTTTTCCACCAAAGGAAGTTCACATTTAAAAAAAAGAGGGACAAAAACCCCAACAACTAGAAAGGTTCTCCCCTCTTGGTTTAGTTTCCTTTGTTTGAAGAAAGTTTCCCTCTTGCTTATTCTTGATTGCTGTTAGGCAAATAATGGAATCTGAACAAGGTTGATGCAAGTGTTTCATGCTGACACATATTAACACGGGTTTTAGGGACCCTTTCTGCGTGAGCATTATTAGTACTTGTAACTCAAGAACTCTCATTTGCTTGTGACTTGTTTCTTATTTTTAAAGCATAAAATCGTTGTTGATGTGATTCCTCAACTCATCCACCTCCAAATGACTAAATTACCCTCTTGATTTGGATAAGGAAAACCTTGAAGCTTTTCTGGGTGACAGATGAAGACTCCATACTTTTTCCACTTACTTTAGCATACTTTGTTTGATGTAAATTAAGTTCTATTAAGGCAACCCTTTGGTTCAAGAAATCACCTCAACGGTTTTTGGCTCTCAATCAATTGCTTGTTTATGAATAGCTCTTCCATGAATACTAGTCTTTAGCTCTTGTCTTTTATTTGGGAGAATAGTAGTTGGAAGCTCCTAAGTAGCTAAATTAGCTCAACAATATTAACTATGAACAGAAAAACTTCAATGAACATAAATTAGAGAAGTTATGGCAGGCATGTGTAATCTCCCTGTGTATTCTCCTTATCAATTTGTTATCTTCAATGTAGTCGCAAAATTCACCTACAAAAGAAGTGTATTACATTAGTTATAATGTCTATGCGTTGGACAGGTTAATTGTAATTTTTTAAAAATAATTTCAATATATAAAATATGTTAAACAAACTTTGTATATATTATTAAAGTGATAAATTTAAATTAAATAGTTGAAATAATATAACAAAATATATGTACAACAAATTAACAATATAACGGTGTTACAATTATTTACATAAATTATCTCAAGTCCCTTAAGGTCCCTTGTTTTTGAGTTCTGGTTCCACCAAACACTTATTCCTTCTCGCGCTTGGTTCTGGACTTTCCTTATTGAATGAATGTGCAACTCACATGCAATGTCAGTAGTTGATAATAAATGAACAGAACATTTTTATAAAGTTTTATAAGTCAATAATTGATTAATAGATTTTAGATTTCATGATAATCAATAGTATATGTTTCAAAGTTTAGAAGTATGTATAATTAATTCTAATTAGGTGTTAAGTAAGTTCTTATGCTTAAGAAACAAAATTGGAAGCTTAGGCATTGAGTAGTGAAGCAGGGTGCATAGAAGGCGCAACTTTTTGCCTTTCTGGAGTCAAGAAGACAATTCTGTAGCCCGCGAAAATGGGCCACCTCTGGGCCCTACATGGGCCTTGGGTGTATATTTCCAAATGCACCTCTCTTACCAAGATTTAAAGGAAAAAAAAAAAAGCTAAAATGAAAAAAATAAAAAACAAAATAGAAAGGGTAATGTCTCACTAGGATATGATCATTTTATCTTTTAGGATCATCTCATCAATGAAACGCCACCGACCAACGTTTGCTTGATGGGGGAGAAAAGGGGTTCTTAACCAATTGATAACGATCTTAAATTAAAAAAAAGTAGCTACATGAAACAAAGTCAATGAAGATGTTTTTGCATATTATTCCAAAAATGTTTAAATCAGTTTGTGCAGAGCATGATCAAAGGTCCAATCTGATGTAGTTGCAAAGCAAAATAGTAGTCTTTGAAATTTTGTTTTGTTAGTCCACTGGGTTAATTGGATGGTGTGAAAATTCTTATTAGACGAGCTGCTACTCTATCCTTAACATTAACAAAACTATATTTGTAGTTTTATATGTAACTCCGCATTTATTTGTGAGGGATATATTATGATATATAATTGCTGTTTATGAAAAGGTTACATTTAGAAAATGGCTAAGCGTCACAAAGGAAATATCATATGAACAAATTAAGATTACACACGGTTATTACTTTTTTGTATTCGTGCCTTTCATATTCATTTTGATGTCTAAATTTAAGAATTTCTGCATGTTCTGATAAATTACTGGTATAAAAACTTGCATCAATAATCATTCTCCTTAACATAATAATTAGTTTGTTACATTATTTGTTTTAAACATTTTAAAACTTAAAGAAAGCATCTTCACTTAAAGACATAGTTTCTTCTTCAGAAAATTATATTCCTATTAATTATCATTAATGCTGATTTGAACATTTGCTGCCATGAAATCCAAAATGAGAAATACATGGAGCCATTCTCATGTAATTTGAACTTGAAAGATAGAGGTCATTTATTGAATATTGAAAGTTTATCTTTAATGATCATTATAACAATAAGCTCCCTAGAATATCAGCCTAGACGTTAATTTTAAAGTTTTGAGTCAATTGTGACAGGGAAAGACAATCCTTCCTTTTAGATACGTTTTTTATCTTTCATTTATTTGATCGATGGACAATCAGTTTAATTAATTAAAAAAATTAATTTTGCTTTCAAGTTATTATAATTTTCTATATTTAAAATTTTGTAACCAATAATTGGTAATAATTCTAAAAATAAATATTAATGTTTTATCATAAAACAACTTTGAGCTTTTAATTTTATAACAGATTAACCTCTATGCCTTTCGTTCTTATTTAATCACATGTTTCTTTTTTTATGAATTACCTGTAGGTCAAATTATATTAATATGTTCTTATTTAATTAAATATTAATTATTCAAATAAATAAAAAAAACTTACTCACCTTCCATTTTTTCAATCAATTTTACAAGCACCCTTAAAATGCACAATATAATAGGTAATTAATATTTATGTATTGATTGGTGGGACATATTTATCAATGTGCATTTTCATTAATGATTTCGAAATAGATTTTTATTATAAAACAAAAATTTTAACTATAAGGAAAGATTTTAAGCTATCAAGATTAAAATGGTTTTCTTGACCATTACATTTAAGATAATATTAAAGAATTAATAAATAATTTTAACTATGAGAAGATTTAGCATTATCAAGGTTCACAGCACAACTTGGAAGGCTTGAACGTTATTGAATGCATGCCCCGTTAATACGTTAAAATTCACAATATTACGAGACACACACACCCTTGTTTATGTTATTGTTCACACAGAACTCATAGTCGCAAAATTATGGTCCAATTTGAGGGGTTAAAGAGTGAGTGAATATGCTCAGTTTGCTTAATCATTGTGGATTTATAGCTATAGCTAAGGCCCGCTAATATTATAGGAGTTTGAATTATTATCAGTTTAGATCTCAATTAAGGGAAATGTATGTTAGTTATTATTTTATTGTTTCTTATTTTTACTTTATCAGTTTGGTAAACAAACTTCTATATTATTACTTCTGTTTTTACTTTTGTAAGACTATAAAGCCAATATTAATTTCTGAATTAAAACATACATTCTCTCATAATAAAATTTGTGTACCTTTGTTATGTTCAACAATTGGTATCTGAGCTAGTTATCGAGAACTTGTCCTAAGTGTGAGAAAAATAGTGAGAGAGAGTGTGATACGAAAGAAACTACATATTTTTTTCAGGTAGTAGTTGAAGTTAATGGTGAAAGGTGGTAGTAGTAATTTTGTTCAGCCCGCTATTCCCAAATTTGATGGTTACTATAACCATTGGGCAATGTTGATGGAAAATTTTCTCCGTTCCAAAGAATATTGGTTTCTTATTGAGAATGGAATATTGGAGATGGAAAATGGAGTCAAGCCTATCGAGGCACAACACAAATTGATCGAGGAGCAGAAGTTAAAGGACTTAAAGTAAAGATTTACCTTTTCCAAGCAATCGTGAAGTCTTTGAAACAATTCTCAAGAGGGAAACAACCAAATGTATATGAAATTCGATGAAACAAAAATTTCAAGGCTCAACCAGAGTTAGAAGAGCCCAGTTGCAAGCTCTATGCAAAGATTTTGAGATACTTCACATGAAGGAAGGAGAAACCGTGAATCCATATTTTTCTCGTACTCTAGCCATAGCCAACAAAATGAAGGCCCATGGTGAAAGTATGAGCGAAACACTCGTCACTGCAAAGATTTTGAGATCAATGGTCTCAAAATTTGATTATGTGGTATGTTTGATTGAAGAATCTAACAACATGAACATGATGACTATTGATGAATTGTAAAGTAGTCTTCTCGTTCATGAGCAAAGGATGACAAGCCATGTAGAAGAAGTACAGGTTTTGAAGATCTTCCATGAAGACAAAGCAGGGAGAGGTAGAGGCAGAGGTGCATTTAGAGGAGGTCAAGGAAGAGGAAGGGGAAGACAATCATTCAATAAAGTTGTTATTGAGTGTTTCAAATATCACAAATTAGGACACTATCAATATGAGTGTCCTGATATGGAGAGAAAGGCCAACTATACTAAATTAGAAGAGAAAGAGGATGATAAATTACTATTAATGTCTCACGTTGAACTCAGGTAATGACGAAAAAAGGCAATGTTCGTATGAAAGTGCATTTACTCGGGTAATTTCTAATGTTTACTATATTCCTGAACTTAAGAATAATTTATTGAGCATAGGGCAACTTCAAGAAAAAGGCCTGGATATTTTGATTCAACATGAGAAGTGTAGGTTATATCACCCTAAGAAAGGATTAATTATGCAGACATATATGAGTGCCAATAGAATGTTTGTATTTTTAGCTACCTTGATACCCAAAGATTCTTCATGTTTTCAAACTACGACATAAATGAATATAATCTTTGGTATTGCCAATTTGGTCACTTAAGCTATAAAGGATTGATGATACTTTATTATAAGAAGATGGTTTAGGGTTTAGGGTTTAGGGTTTAGGATTGATGATACTTTATTATAAGAATATGGTGAATGGACTACCTTCACCCAAGATCCCAAAGAAGTTATGCATACAGTGCTTAACTAGAAAGCAACACAGAGACCCTATGCCTAAGAAGAGTTCATGGAGAGCATCCAACAAGCTACAACTTGTGCATGCAGACATGTAGGGCCATTAAACCATAATCAAATAGCAATAAGAGGTACATCATAACTTTTATTGATGATTTCACTCGAAAAACATGGATATATTTCTTATATGAAAAATCAGAGGCTTTTGCAATGTTTAGAATTTTTAAAGCTTTTGTTGAAAAGGAGACCAGTGCATATATTGCTTGTTTAATGACAAATAGAGGCAGTGAATTCACTTCAAAAGAGTTTGAAAATTTTTGTAAAGATCAAGATGTAAGC